AGATGACCCTGGAGAGTTTTCTGGGAAGAATGTTGTCTGAGTAGGTGTTTAAAGCTGGAGGAAAAGGAATTCCCTGAGGGTCCAGTGGTTAGGACTCTGAGCTTCCACTGCAGGGGTCCTGGGTTCAATCCCTCATCAGAGAACTAAGATCCCACATGCCCTGCACAGCACAGCCAAAACAAAAAAACTGGAGGGCAGAGAATTCCTAAGGATACTAGGAGGGAAAGAAAGGGGCAGCCACTGAAATGGATCAGGGGTGCAGTACCCAGAGGGGGGTCCGCAGGGTGGGGAGCATAAAGAGAGAGAAGACAGAGTTTCCTCTTGTGCCGTAACCCAAGCAGGCCAGTGAGGAGAGGATGATCAGTGTGAGCAGAGGTCCTCCCCTAACAGGGGTGGAGAATGCTGTCCAGTTCTTTCACTCAACCACAGCGCACCCTGATGTGTCTACTCTAGCATGGCTCGTGGATCCTCCTGGGACAAGAGTCCTGGGAACCTGTACTCTTAAGAGGCAAGGTCTCCTGGGAAATTGATGAGGAAATGGCAAGGACAAGGATGGTCTTCCAGCTATATTGGGTCTCTTACCTCTCTGGGAACTGCCCTGCACATTGCTGCCTCTGAGCCTTTGTTCCAGCAGTTTCCCTGCCTGAGAGGTTCCCTTGCCTCTGCTCTCCCCATTTGTATCACTCCACATCAGATGGTGAGCAGTTCTCCTAGCACAGTGCTTAGCAATCTTTCCTGGAACTGCTGTTGTGCTGTCTGTTCTCACCACTGCAGTGAAGCTCCCAGAGGCCGGGTTTGTCCTGCTCACTCATGGCTCCAGAACCCAGCATAGCCCTGGTGCCTAGTAGGTGCACATTAGTGCTTGTGGAATGGCTGGATGATGCCCTTGTAAACGCTACTCTGCCAAAATCAATTTCTCCTAATACCTCCCTGAATAACTCAGATTTTCTTCATTTTCATGTTGCTTAAGCAGGTCTCTACCTCACCCTCCCCTTACCCCCTCGTCCCAGGAGACAAGGACCCTGGGGCCAAAACTGTCTTTCCCTCTGCCTCACCTTCCTCCTGCAGCTGGCTGTGGTGCTCAGGCCCAGAGGAGGGTCAAGACTGAGATGCCTCTGCCCACGGCAGTGGGAGGCTCTCCTGATGGCCAGCCAGGGCCTTGGTTGTTTCATGATGATTTTTTTCAGGTCAGTAGTGAGGGGTGGAGTGGGGAAACCTATTAACACACTTGTAGGATTTAATTATGATGCTGCTGGCCAGGGTTTTCTGTGGCATTTTGTTGGGAAGAACTGGGGAGTTTCTCAGCTGCCTGGGAGGGCCCTGCTGTCTAGAAGCAGGGGGAAAACTAGCTGACCTCTGTAAGAGCTTGAGCCATGGACACAAGGCAGAGACCTCAGGCATATCATCTGGGGTCCACAGACCTTTCTGTCGAAGGTTCATGGATCCAGTTCAAGGGATCCATGAATTGGGGCTGGGGTAAATCTGCATCCTTTTTTTCACTAACTTCTAACTGAAATTTTGTACTTCCATTCTGAACCATAAGCAACAAACCTCAGTGGTAGCAGCACCTGTGACTGTGATCAATAGGTATTTTCACGTCACAGCTGTGGCACATATCTGAAAATATCATTTATACTCATCACTATTACAAAATTTTTCTAATATAACTCAGCACTAGATCTTATTTCATAAAGAATAGTGAAGAATATATATTATGTGATGAACTATGTCAAAAGTTTGCTATTGAGCGTGATTTGTATAACTGTACTTTGGTATATCTGGTTTCCTTTGTCATTTTATGTATGTTATGCATTTCAAAGGATTCTGTTTATTGCCTTAAAGTAAATGAATGAACAGATAGACTGATTCTGAAAAGGGGTCCATGGAATATTAGAACCCCTGAGGAAGACAGAGGTTGCCCAGGTCATGGGTGGGCGGAAAGGGAAAGGCAGTGAGGTTTTCTGTACCCACCTCCAGCCATTATTAGACCCTCTCCCTAGGGCAGATGGGGCTTCTTTAGTGGATCAGTGGTAAAGAATCCAGCCGCCAACGCAAGAGACTCTGGTTCCATCTCTGGGTTGGAAAGATCCCTTGGAGAAGGAAATGGCAACCCACTGCAGTATTCTTGCCTGGGAAATCCCATGGACAGATGAGCCAGGCGGGCTACAGTTCGCGAGGGCGCAGAACAGTCAGACACCACTGAGCAACTGAACAAAAACCCTTGGACGGAGGTGCTCCGGGGAGAGGGGCAGCCACGGGGCGGGGCAGCCACGGGGCGGGGCAGCCAGAGGGCGGGACATCCGGGGCGGGGCCTCTGCCCTGGGTAAGTGCCCTCCGTTCTGGGCAAATGCCCTACATGTGCTGGCTTTCCGCACTCACTGGGACGGCCTACACCTCCTTCTTCCCCAGTCCCAGCCATGATCACCTCCCACCCCAACACCACCATCGCCATCAAGGGCCACGCCAAGGAGCTCAACTGCACGGCGCGGGGCGAGCGGCCCATCATTATACGCTGGGAGAAAGGGGACACGGTCATCGACCCTGACCGCGTCATGCGGTATGCCATCGCCACCAAGGACAACGGCGATGAGGTTGTCTCCACGCTGAAGGTAAGCCCCCGTGCCCATCTCAGGGGGAACCCCACTCTCAGAAAGTGGGGAGCCCACAGCTATTGCATCTGAATCCAGAAGAGGTAAACAGGAGTCTGGGAGCCCCACCCCGAAAAGTACCTCTCCTTTCCTACCTATTTCCCTCCTTCACACATCAGCCTATGTCTTGAGCCTCATTTTGTCTCCTTTCTGACAACTCTACACTTTAAATGTATGGGATCCTCAGCCACGCCCTCCCTCCCCCCTCCCTCCTGGACCCCTCGAATCCTCCCTCCATCCTGGGACCCCTCAGCCCCACCTCTGTCGTGGACCCCCAGCCCCTCCCCCCAAGCCCTCCAGCCCCTCCCTCTTTTAGACCCCCTCAGCTGGCTCCCTGCACAGACTCTTCCACGCTTCCATCCATTGAACTTTCTGGGAAGGGGAATTCTTGACAAACCCTGGGTGGGTCCCCTCCCAGAAGAAGGTGGTCTTGCTGGTCCCCACTAGATGGGCCCCCTTCAGCAGATGGAGTCTAAAAGGCTCTCCCCATTCCTTCCTCTCTCTGTGCCCTCTGCCCCTTGGACTGCCTCCCAGCTCAAGCCTGCTGACCGTGGGGACTCTGTGTTCTTCAGCTGCCATGCCATCAACTCATATGGGGAGGACCGGGGTTTGATCCAACTCACCGTACAAGGTACCTCACCTGCCCCACGTCCCCAGCCCCTTCTTCCGGGCTCTGGTGCTCACTGCCAACTCCCCTCAGGAGTGGGGGACACTCCACACCCAGGGGAGGTGGCAGGAAACAGCTCTGGGGAAAAGCCTCAGTCCACTCTCCCTCCTGCCCAGAGTGGTGTGATAGGATCTTTCCAGGCCACTGCAGACAGCAAGGTCTGTGATGGCAGAAGCCCCTGTGGAGCACACTGTTGCCCCCAGAAGTGGGGGACCTGGATCTGTGGGCCCAGACCCTGGGGAAGGTGTGAGGAAGGGAAGTAAAGATGGAAAACCTGGGAGCTCTGCATGGAGGGAAGTGGGCCATCAGCTGTGAGGGGTCCCTCCAAAAGGGGCTGAGGAAGAGAGGGGGACAGAGCAGGGACCCAACGCTCCCGCCTCTGCCTCTGAGCCCTGCTCCAGGCTCCTCCATCCACATGCTGCCTTGCCGGAACTCTAGGGCTCAGGGCCCTCAGAGAGACCCTTGTGCCACCAGTCCGCCCAGCACAGATCCCTTGATCTCTGCAGAGGGTCAGCAGGAGGCCAAGCTCTCTGCTGCCATCCTCACCCCTGCCCCCTTCCCCTGCCACTGCCCAGAGCCCCCTGACCCCCCAGAACTGGAAATCCGAGAGGTGAAGTCACGGAGCATGAACCTGCGCTGGACCCAGCGATTCGACGGAAACAGCATCATCACTGGCTTTGACATTGAGTACAAGAACAAAACAGGTAGGTGAGGGCTTGGCCCACCGTGGCGCCTTGTATCACTTGCCTGGACAGCGTTCCTCCGGCGGGACAGCCCTCGGCTGTCAGGGCTGCCCATCTAAGACAGACACACAAGCCCTCGTGTCTTCCAAAGGGAGGGACGTTAGTCAGGTTAGGAACCCAGGGGGCAGATGGAAGAATCCCCTCAGTTGATTGGGAGGAAATGTCAGTCCCTTCTTCCCAGGACTGACCCTGGGCAGGTCCATAGGGCATTCTGATTTAAAGCAACTTAAAAGGCCCTGAGCCAGGAACTACTGGCTGTATCTGTGGGGTCAGAGACATCACAGTTTAACTGGGTCATCTAGGCAGTCCGGATTTGAGATGATGGGGTTGCTTGGAAGTCAGAGAAACCGATCCTTCCCAAGAATGAGTCTCTGGGGAAGTAGGAGTCCCTGGAAAGTTTAGATCTAAGTTTCTTCTTCTTAGAAGCCCTCCAAGACCCCTCCCTTGGGACTCTTCTAATAGCTTCTAAGAGGTAGACTTCTACTGTGAAGCCACTTAGAGCAGAGTGAACAATGGACCCCTCTGTCTCTGGGGAAACCAGGGACCCACAATCAAGTGACAGGGATGGCAAGGAGGGGATATGACCTGGACAAAAGGCCAAGCCAAGAAAGAGCTGTATGTGATCATGTTTGTATCCGCGTGACTATTTCTAAAAGGTACAGGTGACAGGGGGCTGCCCCTGAGAGGGCCCCGGGTGGGTTCAGTGCAGGTGAGAGAAGGAGAAACATACCCCTCCTCTTGGGTCCTTTCATGCTTTCAGAATTCAAGACCATAAGCCCATATAAGCCTTTTAAAAATACTTTTTAAAATAAAACACAGAAAGCAAGTCTGGAAAACTGAAGCCTCCCCAACCGCCCTTCTCCCACCAACTCCAACTCATCTTCCAGTCCTCAGCATAGATCCAAGGTTTTGTTTCCTCAAAAGCCTTCCAGACCCTTCCTCTCTTCCTTAGCACAGCACATAGTCATTGGCTGTCTGACTATCTGCTCCCCCAAAGTGTCAGCCCCAGGATAGCATCCACAGCTGTGTTTACCTCTTGAGAAGCCACTCTGTCCAGGACACTGGGTTCATCATTCCTGATGCAGGTTTCTACAGGAAGGAGCCCTGCCCTCAGAAGCTTGCAGTCTAATTGGGGAGAAAAGTCAGCTCATAGCCAGACCTCCCGAGGTCACTGCCAGGGCAGAAGAAGGGCCACAGAGAGAAGGGGGTGCTGCACAGACAGGGGTCCTCAGAGCAGTACCTCTCCTGTCCTTGCAGATGCTGCCTTGAGTTGGGAGAAGATGGGAAGCTAACGGGGCCTATATTCAGGGAGAGGGAAAGGGCCGAACCCCGGCAAGGTGCAGTGCACTCCGGGGAGTGGCATGTCTAGCAGAGGGTTCACAGACCCAGCGGTGCTAGTGGTAAGGAATCTGCCTGCCAATGCAGGAGATGTGGGTTCGATCCCTGGGTCGGGAAGATCCCCTGGAGGAGGAAATGGCAACCCACTCTAGTATTCTTGCCTGAAGAATCCTATGGACCGAAGAGCCTGGCGGGCTACAGTCCAAAGGGGCACAGAGAGTTGGACATGCCTAAATGACTAAGCACACAGACCCAGTTTCTGGGCAGTAAGACTAATAAGTGCTCTGGGCTCCAGGTTGGGAGGGAGCCTCTGGACTGAGCTTTTATTTCCTTGGGGAAGGCCATTGAAAGCCACTAGCCATGTCTAAGATTCTAGTGAGAGACTTAAGCAACATGGCACCTTGGTAGGGGTCATCAGGCGTCACTGGGGAGGAGGGGTGTCCAAGAAGCGAGTGACCAGGCTGCCGCAGTCTGTAGCTGAAACAGGTGATGAGCAGGGGCTGGGCAGTGGTGGAGGCAGAGGGCACAGAGAGGAGAGGAAGCCCACTGGGTCCATCTCACATCTCAGGGCTTCCCAAGGCTGGGCGCAAGCTTCCTAGGAGCCAGACAAGAAGGGACAGGTCTGTCCACAGCCAGCATCTCCCTGCCTGCTTGATGTAGCTGGCAGGGCTCCATTCCTGTTGGGGATGGGGAGTGGATGCCCGGGCTGTCCCTTGGGTCCCTCCCCTACTGCTCATTGGGACTGCCTCCCTGCCCTCCTCCCCCATAATGCCCCATTGCCCACCATCCCCCTCCTCCACTGACCACCTTCTAATGTGTGGAAACCTTTCCTGGGGCGCTGCTCAGCCAGGCGAAGCTGAGAACATCACACATCTGGAGAGCTGTGGAGGAAGAGAGATGGGCAGGGAAGATGCTATTTTCAGAGCTCATCCACATCTTCCCCCAACCCTGTCTGGCTCTCCTGAAAGATGAGGAACCATCATACCCACTCCAGCTCCGGGGTACCAGGATGGACGGAAGGGGGAGGAGAGGGTAATGAAACCCAACCTCAGACTCTCCCATCCACAGGATCTTTGCACCTGTTAAAAAAACAAAAACAAAAAAACAGGTCACAGGATCAAGAGCCCAGAGAAGCTGGGCTGGTCCTTTCTCCGGTCTTCCAGTAGGCCTCTCCGGGCCATGCCACTCAGACAGGCATCTGTGCTGGCATTTAGGAAAAGGAGTCCCATGGGAACTGAGGAGAGTTACCACTGGAGTCAGGCAGAGGCTGTGAACACAGCATCACTTCCTCATCTGTGAGGTAGAAATAGTAATGCCTGTCTTGTGGGAGTGTTTTGAGGACTGAAGAGAAAGCAGCTATCATGGGGCCGTAGTTCCTCTCCTCCTTCTAACTGAAATAGCTCGTGTGGCAGCTTACAGTCCTGTGGGACTTGCAGGCTGAAATGTGTGTCTGTCAGTCAGCAGCATGTACTGAGTGCCAATCATTTTGTTGCAGAGTCATGCATCACCCATGTGGTAGAAAAGAGAAAGAATGAGGAGACAGAGAGCTGCCCTTGGAGCCGATAATGCAGTTGCAGTGAGAATATACAAAGATGTACACACTTGAGCGTGCACACACACACACATGCACACACTCAGGTACTTTCAGGACCATTACAAAGCACTCTCCAATCACATGTAATGTACCACAAACTGAATTATGTGACAACTGAAAAAAGTATCCTAGGGAACGGATGGGTGACTCAAAGAACGGAGGGGCATGTGTGTGCATGTGCGTGTGTGTGTGTGTGTCTAAGTAGATCTTCTGCCTGCATGGAGAATACTAGAACAAGAACAAGTTTCAAAGCAGAAGACTTGGGTTGACCAAGTGTCAGGGTTGCGTGATCTTTAGCAAGCTACTTAAGGTCTTTGAGCATCTCTATCTGTCAGTACAGACAATGGCACATAATCCAAGGTGATTGCAAGGAATACATGAACGTGAAGATTTATGTGCCCGTGCCTAGCACAGAGCCTGGCACATGGTCTGCATGCTGTGGCTCCTGTCCCTTCCCACTTCCTCCTGCCGCAGACCGCACCCTCCTGTGGTTGGAACATCTGTCCCTGACCCCCTTCTTTGTCACAAGTGTGCCTTTGCCAGGTTTTCTGCCATGTTGCTCATCATGCTAATTTTCCCAGGGAAATTACCACGTCTGCCCTTTCTAAGCCATCGTGCTCACGCTGACTTCTCCTGGCCCCAGGCAGCAGAGTAATAATACATGAATGCTGAATGATAAATAGCACCGTCCACACAAATCTATCAGACAGCGCTGCACAGATTTAAAAATGCAGACACCACATTTCGGCCCTGTTTTCCAAGCAAGGAGCAGGGATGAGTTCTTTGAGGATGGCCCAGAAGGCAGCCTCGTGGTAGGAGCCATCAGCCATCATGGGCTGAGCCAGCCCCATGCGGCTTGGCGCTGTGTGGGTGTGGGGCTGCCAGAGGGTCGGGTGTTAGGACGTGGTGAGTGGTCGCGGTGATCCAGGAAAGCCCTTCTCAGTGCAGTGGAGATCACCGTGGGGGGCTCAGAGCTGTGATGCAACGAGGAAATCAAAGATGCAGGATGGACTTGTTTCCCCCGCACAGGCAGCTGAATGCTCCAGATGTGGCTTTTGTCCAAACGCTCCCCCTTCTACAGTGAATGTGTCTCCTGAAATACCAAAGCCCCCAGGTCCCCTCCCAGCAAGCAGCCCACTGAGTAGAAGGCACTGACATCTCCCCAGCCGCTTCCTTATTTTTTAAGAAGAATATTTTGCATCATAAACCCTTTGATGAAGAAAGGGAGAGAGAGCCCTTAATGAAATATGTTAATCTGGGTAAGCCAGGCTCATATGAAAGGGAATATTAAAAGAGACAATATTCACCAAAGCCAGCTCAGTACTCTGCGAGCTGAAAAGGAAAGGGAAAAAAATAGGGCCACTGATTTCAGCTATTCAGGTCAGAGAGATGGCAGCGATCAAGTTTGGAAAATCAGAATGAGACCTCCAAATTTGACTCTGATGCATGAGCCTGCAGGGGCTGTGGGGAGAGAACGGTTGTGCCAACATCAAAGGTGATTTGGGAACACAAGGACAAATCCACCTGCAAATGACTGGCAATAGCAGAAAAAAGGGGGCCACTCTCTGGGATCCCCCAGTCTTCCTATGATTGGCAGCTAGGGAGGAGGCAAGCAAGGGAAAAGCAAAGGGTATTTACTGTGACTGCAAAATGTGGAGGAACCACAAGTCCAACATCCAAGACCACAAAGTGGGCTCTGATCTAAGACCAACAGTGGGTTTTAAGTGCCCAGCATGTGCCAAGTGGTACAGATGGGCAAAGTTGTAGATATGGTTCCCTTCAGGGAGCTTCTCTGTGTATAGATGGAAATAGAATCCAGGGATGGAAAAAATGTATGGAGTGAGAGGAGAGCATAGGATGGATCCTTGAAGAACTTGAACCATAAGGTAAGAAAGATGTACCTGCAAAGTGAAGAGATAGCCCAAGAGATTAGGAAAAGCTAGAAAGTGAAAGTTTCTCAGTTGTGTGTGATTCTTTGTGGCCCCATGGATGGGGTCCTCCAGGCCAGAATACTAGAGTGGGTAGCCGTTCTCTTCTCCAGCGGATTTTTCCAACCCAGGAATCGAACAAAGGTCTCCTGCATTTCAGGTGGATTCTTTACCAGCTGAGCTGCCAGGGACTCCCTAGGAAAAGCTAGAGACTATTTTAATAGGCATCCCAAGAGAAGAGTGTTTGGGGAAGGGACAGGTTTAAGTGTTGCACATACCTGGAAGGCCAAGTGAGAAATCAGACTTGATGACATGCACGTCCCCTGTACAGTGGAGATATGGTGCTGATGTCATAGAAAGGTATGAGGAGTAAATGGTGTCCATCACTGCACTTGGCACGTCACAAGTGCTTGGTAAATATTAGCACCTCTTTTTTTTTAGCCCCTTAGTTTTCAGACACATCATTTGGGTCTCCTTCCTCTGCCTGCACTCATCAAAAATGAATGCACTGACTCATGATCGCTGTCCCTCTCCTATAAACATGGGCAAATCAAATATGATGTGTGAGTTGGCACCAGTTCCCAGGATGCCACAGAAAGAAGTGAACACCTGCCTCCGCATTGCCAGCCCATTTCCTCCTGAACTAAAGTGGTACCCTCGGCAGGAGGAGCCTGCGTGTTTGCAACTCTGCCTTAACCTCCCAGCCCCAGTGACTTTTGGGCAGTTGGGGTGTTTTGAAAAAACAAGGAGAATATACTGTTTTTCAAATGGCATCCATAGTCTGCCATTTGTGACGTTGGCTCATGAAACCAAAGAATTAAATGCAAAACTGCAGATGAGGAACCGGGCCAGTGCCCTTCACAGATGCCAAGCTGGTGTGGCTAAAAGAGGTGTTTTGAAAAGCATCAAGACCTCAGTTAGCCAGAACCTGGGAGATGGGATAGTCTCTTTGGGTGAACCAATCCTCCTGATTTACCAGGCATTAGCTTAAAAAAGAGTCTTCCTAAAAAATTCTAGAATATGCCATCCTTCCTCCCTGATTCAGGGATTAAACTGTAGTGAATATATTTTAATCTTTTCTGCTGACAATTCTCAGGATCCTCTACTGTGGATTTAAAAGACATGGAAAATTAGACTGAATAGTCACATCAGGACATGCCCTGGGAAGATGTTTAAGCCACACTATCAGCCAGTTCCTTGTGCTTTGCCTTTTTTTGTCTTTTCAAAGCAAAGTGCCAATAACGTAATCTGGTTATGAATTCTGGGTTTGGAGGGTACTAGCTGAGGCATTGCTGTAACTGCAACCCCTTCCATTTCTCTCTGGAATCCCCTAGTAGGTGCACAGGAAAAAATACATTGAATGAATGACTGGGTTCCTGTGGAGATGCAGAATGTTTACTGTCACAGTATCCCTGAGGGGTATTTATCAGGTATCTTTCACATTCTACAATTTTGCTAAACATTAGCCCTGGAATGGGCTGCCAGTCCCCCTGGATGAATTGGAAACATGCTCATTGCTTTGTTGGCTTCTGATGCTAAAGATTCAGAGACCGTTCTCTTGCTGGTGAGAGAGGAAAGGGTTTGCCTAGGAACTCTGGCACTTGGTTTATTCCGCCCCCACCCCCCACCCCAACAGCCTAGGAAACATTCAGACCACCACCACACAAATGCACAGGAAAAAGAAATACAGAAGCACACACAGAGGAGGAGAAAGGGGGATAAGACTTGGCTTCCCCATTTTCACTGGAATCTTGGGTGGAGGGGGTGCCTCACAGTTACAACACAGCGCTGGTGTGGTGTGAGAGACCAGGAACAAGGGCACTGGCCAATGAGACCCTAAGCGATAGCAAGCATTGGTGATCTTGGAAGGGGCCAGAGGAAACATCTGAGGTTTGGGTTTACCAGGTGGCCCTGGGTAGAGAAGGGTTAAGCTTCCTGATTCTCCAAGCAGTGGACTTGTTCCCATGCTCAGGCATCCCTTGATCTCTTGAACTTCATGGAACAGAACAGTTTTCTCTGAAATTCTCTTGCTGCAGTCTCTGTAAGCAGGACCTCTTCCAGGCATCTAGGTTGAGTTTGGGATGTGCTGCTGCTTGAGGCTGGAGAGAGGTCCTGGAGTTTGCCTGGCTATGGTTAGAAGTGGGTGTCCTCTCTCCAGATTCCTGGGACTTCAAGCAGTCCACACGCAACATCTCCCCGACCATCAACCAGGCCAACATTGTGGACTTGCACCCGGCCTCCGTGTACAGCATCCGCATGTACTCCTTCAACAAGATTGGCCGCAGCGAACCGAGCAAGGAACTCACCATCAGCACTGAGGAGGCTGGTGAGCATCTCGCCCTGTCACCCCTGCCCATGGGCTCAGAGATCAGGGGCATCTGGGGCCCTCACCCACCCTGTCCACTGGCAGTGGGTTTGCAATTAGAAGGGGTAAGGGGGGAGATTCCAAGGTGTGTGTTTGTGTCTGCCTCTGGATCATCGGAGACTCTTCTGCCTGACCTTTTCCAAATGGGGTTCTAGATGCAATGCTTTCAGGAGCTGTCCGTGGTTCTGCTCCCACTCCACTGGCCCCAGCCTGTCTGGAAAGGACAGATAGGCTAGATCTGCAAAAGCTAGGGGTACTACTGCCCTGGATTATCTCTTGTGACTTTTGTCATGAAGTTTTCCTGAAAATTTAAGCAAGATTTCCCTTATTGTATTTTCTCTTACTGTCATTGCAAAATAGAAATTAATACCAAAAAGTACAAATACATGTGCAGTTTTACACATAGTAATAATAATAAAGCAAAAACTAGTATAACCAACACTCATTATCACTTCCCAGAGGTCCTTTATATACCCCTTCTCAACCATAACCCCATCCCTCCCCCTGAAGTAACAAGT